TTGGATAAGGAAGAAATAAAAGAAAAGAAATGATTGTAATTTCTCTCATTCTTGTTTGGTTAAGTTTCATTAAGAGAAAATAAAAGAAATTATTTTATATTCTATTACCAAAATAACTTTTTTATATTTTCAATCATTTTATTTCTTTTATTTTTATAGGGACAAAATTGATATTATGAAAATAGTGGTTTCTTTTCTCTCTCACACTATGTTTGGGAACTTAGGAAAGAAAAGAAAAGAAATGATTATTTAAGTAATAAGATAAAAGAAAAGAAAAGAAATGATTGTGATTCCTCTCCTTTTTTTTTGAATAAGGAATAAATAAAAGAAAAGAAATGATTGTAATTTCTCTCATTCTTGTTTAGTTAGGTTTCATTAAGAGAAAAAAAAAGAAATTATTTTATATTATATTATCAAAATAACCTTTCTATATTTTCAATCATTTTATTTCTTTTATTTTTATAGGGACAAAATTGGTATTATGAAAATAGTAGTTTTTTTTTTCTCCCAATCTCTCCACTTTTGAGAAGATTGAAAATGAAGTTTATAAGAGAAATGAGTTTCTCTCAATTTCTTTCCATTTCTCTCTACTTATGTTTTCTAAACAAATAAGAAAAATACATATTACTCAATTTTTTTTTTCTTTTCTCTCCAAATCACTCAATCCAAACATAGTGTCAATCTCTCAACTTTTAAAAAGATTGAAAATGAGACTTATAAGAGAAATAAATTTATCTTAATTTCTCTCAATTCCTTCTAATTTCTCTTTATTTAAATTATCCAAATAAATAAGTGAAATAAATCTCACTCCATTTCTTTTCTTTTTCTCCCCCAAATCACTCGATCCAAACATAGCCTACATGTCGACATATGTAAACATGGAAAAGAAATTCCCATAGAAGCGAGCTTTCGTTTATCACCGACGAGTTCTTAACTTAGCGGCCAAGTTCCAGACAACTATCTCTCTCTCTCTCTCTCTCTCTCACTGCAGGTATCCGGTGAAGCCGCCGGAGTCGGAAAGATGAGGCCACCGCCTTCGGAGAAGCCAATCAACGTCAACTCGATGGCTCGGAAGATCGCCGTCGACAATCGACTTCCCCTCCGCAATTACTATCGGATCGCTGATAACCTCCTCAAACAGGTACGATTTCATAATTCTAGATTTGTTTTGGTATTGATTCTGCAATGACTTGATGTTTTCGAATTCAATGTTGAATTAGGGTTTTACTTTTTAATTCTGTTAGTTTAATTTATTGTAGCGAATTCGCGATTTTAGGGCCTTAATGGCTTCTGAATTGCAATCTGTACCCTAAAAAGTTGATCCTAGGTGTTATTGGGAGTAATGTATCCTTGACCTTGACAGAGTTCTCATTGGTGTTTTAGACTTGAGTGTGAAATTAAAGAGGTTTTTATCCGCGATCTTGACAGACTTCTCATTCGTGTTTTAGGGGGAACTGTGTAAGAGAGAAAAGATGCTACATGGATATGGTAGTTAATCGGGGTGTGCGCGGGGCGGTTTAAGGATAAAAAAAAGAAGAAGAATATGGACGGTATCAACTTGGCTAATTTGCCGTTTGCAACTGACTTGCCGCCATAAAAAAATCTGCAGGTCAGTTGAAAAATATGGACGGTATCAACTTGGCTAATTTGCCGTTTGCAACTGACTTGCCGCCATAAAAAAATCTGCAGGTCAGTTGAAAAATATGGACGGTATCAACTTTCAGGCGGGCAGTGGTTGACTTTCAACCTTGTGATGACCATTTGTAAATGGACCTCTTTTTATGAAAGAAAAATAAAATCTAATAAAATAAGATTCAGCTCTACAATCTTGTCTGAATCTTCTTGGTTGACAACTTGAGATTCATTCCTTTAAACTTGCTTTCACAAAGATCAAATGAAGTGTAGAAATATATTTCTGAATGTATGAAAAAAAATAGAACATTAAAATTGGATTTATAACATAGACAAGTTACAAAAGGGTTCGGAATAATGTATATCAGCCTGGATTGGTTGCTTGAATTTCTTAAATCCACACTCATTAATTTTGGGGAAATAAAGAAAACGAGATTTGGGGTTGTATATTTTAAAGCACACACAAACCAACCCGCCTTAAAAAAACCTTCCACTCGCCCACCCAACCCATACCGCCAATTTGTCTAAACCGCACAGAGCGGAGCAGAATGGGGTGGATTTGGCTAGTTGGGTGGTATTATGCACAACCCTAGTATTTACTATAATAAGTAAAGCTACATTCGGTAGCAAATTTGTGGTAAAAAAGGAAGTTGCATCTAGCATTTGGGGATCTATTTTGAGATAGTTGATGCATTTTCTGTATTAATTTTGCTTTTTTTTTTGAGAAAAAAACTGTAATAGAGACAAGACGCTACTTCTGGAATTTTGGATATAGTGCTTATTGTAATAAGTAAAGCTGCATTTTGGTAGCGAACTAATGAAAGAAAAAGAAGTCTCATCCAGCATCTGGGGATCTATTTTGTGATTGTTGATGTGTTTCTGTAATTTTTTTTTTAATTATTTTTTTCTAGTGATGCAGATATTCATGCAGTCACTTTTTTTCTTTGGATGGTTATGTTCTGTTTGCTGTGGACCTGGACAATTGGGGAATATTCAAACGTAAAGCATGGGTAATATAAAAAATGAAAGTATGTTCACTGGAGGGTAGCAGCATCAAATGACACTTCTGTTCATAAAAGGATGCATTAGCAAAGTGATATTGATTCTGAAGTGAATAATATATTTCTACTTTTTCAAGTACATTAAAAAATTCCATCTATTGTTTCACTGAAGATTGCTTCTGTAGCATAAACATTCTTGAATTTAGTGGTGTTATTATATAATTTCCTAAGCAAAATAAAGTTGTAATCATATTGTTGATTTTCCTCCCCTCTTATCTTTCTGATGTACTGTACTTTATCTGTTGGGAAATTTCTAATGTCCAGGCAAGTATTTATCGGGAGGAGAACAACGTTATAGACTTGTATATCATACTTCTTAGATATTCAAGGTATGTTAAGGAGAATGCTGCTTGCTTTCTTTCAAATTGCTGACTTTGCAGAAAAGTATGTATGTGTATGCTTAATTATTTATTTTGCCAGTTTGGTGTCTGAAACTATACCATTCCATCGAGATTACCAGGTTTTGCTTCCAAAAGAAAGAGCATTTTACAAGAAGGTGAGTAGAATTTACTGGTATTATACTTTAATCTAATTAATATAAACCATGTTCAGAAGTTTTTGTTACAAAAAATCATTTTTGGCTTGTCTCTGTTGTTTTCTCCAGAAATCATTAGCTGTGCTGGACGAGCTTGAATCTTTGCAGCCGAAATTCCGACGTCTACTGAATGAACTGAACAAAGCTCATGCAGGGACTCAAGAACATCAATTTGATGCCCAAGAAAGAACTTCATATGGTTCAGAGGCATCACTTTTGGAATGGCCACTTGTCAATAGGAAAGCTTCTTTGAGCCTCAATAATACGCCGGTATTAAGCCAGTACATTTATTTTTATTGCGTGAATGATGTGTTGTTTTCTTCCTGTCTGTTTGTATTTATTTCTGTTAAAGCGGATGGTTCTTAAAATATTTGATTTTTTAATTTATAGCAGTTAGTTGGTATTAATTCGATTGTTCAAGTTTGTTTTGTTCAATGAAGTTTAAAGGAAGCGCACTTCCAGATCTAGACATATATTTCATTTTCGCCTCTCTCTTGAGGAGAGCTTTGTTCGTTCATCTCATATGACTTGATGAGAGTTTTGTTTATTTATCTCATATGTCCGTTGCTAGTCCTCAAGGCATCCCAGCCATAACGTTATTTTCTAGTTATGCATATCTTTTTTATCTGCACAATGTTTGTATAAAGCCTCAGTTAAGTTCAGTTGTTACTTGTTATCTTGTTTTTCAGATTTTATTTCCATAATTTGGCATTTGTGGGTTCCTCTTCTTCTTACCCTTCTTTACATGTGGTTGCAGCCAGTCAGAAAAGCACCTTTGTCTTCACGGAAGCAGAACAATAATTATACTCAAATTTTACCGACAAATTCAATCGACTCACAATTCGGGAAGCTGTGAGTAGCTCATTAGTACAATCATATTTTTTAAAAATAAAGCCTGTAAATGGCTGTCTTTTATTTGTGTATTGCTTAGATTAGTTTCTGGACGGATTGTTATAGTTTTGAAGATTGTTCTTTGAGCAAGTTGCTAGTGGCAAACTGGCCAATGTTTTGAAGGGTGTCTCTTTTGTCCACATTGAAATGGGAAAGATATGCTTTAGGACGTCTTAACATAATATGCTGATCATGAAATAATGTGTTATATTTCTCAACCAAATGCCCTTGAGAAGGCATTGTTAAACCGAGTGTGAGACTAACAAATTTGATTTGCGAATTCTTTCTGCTAATGGTGGTGTCCAAGGTGGGTAATAACTATGATGATACATGTGTTTATGGCTGATGATGCTCAGCTTCCTTTCATCTCAATGTTTCCAACACATGTAAAGTGCCTAAATTGGACTTTTCTCCCAATGTAGAATCAAAGTGGCTTTTTAAATTTTGGGAGCAATATAGCTTAATATTTGTGGTACTGGTACAATGTGCAATGGATACTGACAGTTTATGATATTTCGGAATGTAGAGTAGTTGGGAAGCACTTTTGCCTGCCACTTTCAGGTTAACTAATTTTTTCCACAAAACATGGGGTTTTATTCATGAACCCGAAATAAAATTTTCTCCTTAGTGGCTCTTTTAATTATATACACATTGGTAGGTTTCCTTGGTCTATTCATTTCCTTTCATCCATTGAATGGCATTTGGGGAACCCTTAATTTGATAGAGACCTTTGTTAGCAGTCCTCTAAATCTGAATGTGGAGGCCTCAAGAGAATAGCTTGGTTAACCTTTTCTTTTAGGACCAGTGAAGGATCAGCAATTTCAACACTATATTTGCCAAAAGTTTCTAATCTTGACTAGAGTTTTCTATTATGGATTTTTGAAACTCCTGCTTCTTCTATAGCCTCCCAAATTTGTTGACATCGCTACTGGGATTAATCTGGAAGTGTCTAGAAGTTGGTTTGTTTATAGGGTAGATATGGTGGAAGGATGACAACATTGGACTGAAAGGCCTTCATGTGCTAGTCTAGCTGGGCTTTGTGGTTCATATAATCACCTCAATATTATATTATCATCATCATCATTCCTGAGAGTTCTTTAAACAACATCATCATCATCATTTATAGGGTAGATATTAGTTACTTGTAGTGGGTGGCCAAAGATTTTGGTGGTTATTCATCATATGGAAGTTGAGGCATAAGCAGTTCTAATTTATGTGGATGGTGCCTTTGGTGCTGTCTTGCTTTTTTAGATGCCTTCTTGTCCTTTGATTCATTTCCTTGCAAACCATTTTTCGCTTAGACAGTCATTGCTTTTGTATAAATAGCATGTCTCAAAATTTATTTATTTATTTATTTTTCGTGGTTTATGGAGATTAGTGTATTTATTGCTAGAACTGATTATTGTTTGTGGCTATAAAATCATAAACCTGTTTATTTTTGGTATGCCAATTTTTATAAGGATAAATGTGCTGACAATTCCTTAAAAACATGCAGACCTCTTAATATACCTCTGCCAAATAAGGAAACTCTGTCTAGACACTCTTTTTTGGGCCCAAATGGTCTTCGGGGTCAGTGGTTGGGACCTAGCCCAGAGATAAAGGTAAAATTTGTCAGGTTGCATTTCATTTTGTGTTGATTTTTGAACTCTTTTAAGTTTAATCCCATTGTACAATGCAGGTTCACTATCCAAGCAATACTGACTTGACTCCAAATGAAAATTCAAGGTCAGGGCTATAGCAACCTTGTACTTCTGTTACTACCTCGTTTTATACTTTTAATTAGTTTTTCTTGAGGCATTCTTATGTACCAAAACTATCTAATTATCCCCTTGTTGCTTTATGTTATGTTTCTCCCCAAACTTAGCCCTTTTGTAACATTTTCTTCCTGGTGTTATCCTGGGTTATAGCCTGAATCAGGAGGTTGCACAATATGACCTTCAGGAAGTAAAAGATGGTGAGTCAGGAGTGGATAAATCTACCATGGAATCATTGCTGTCTTTGGATGATGGAAGATGGTCACTTCCAGCTGATGACTCTTGTCCTCCCTTAAATAATGAAGCAAGTAATGCTCCTCTTATATTAGGAAATATTAGGCAACCTTCTCCACCTCCTGTTCTTGCTCAAGTACATCCAGATTTTCTGCCAATTTCTCCATCAAGAGTTGCAGATCCGAGACCTGGACCAGCAAAACCTTTTCAGGATGGGATGATTGGCTCTAATTCCTATCAGCATTTACACATTGTAGGTTTTGTGTACTGAATTTTGATCATAACTCTGATAACACAATTCCCACAGTTCTTGGCAATTTCTGTTTTGATTACAATTTTATGCCTACATAACGTTTTATGTTGATTTTTTATTCTTGCTGACATGATACTAGTTTTGTTTAACCTCCATTGCAGCCAGTAAAAATGATGGATGATTTTTTGAGATTGGCACGAGAAAATACTGCAAAAAATTTAGAAACATGTGGTGTTCTTGCTGGTTCATTGGTAATTGGCACAAGATTTGTGAATACAAAAAGAAAATGATAACTATGTTTAGATATTTTATACTTGTGGTTACTTATGTACTCGATCACATTTTGTAGAAAAACAGGGTGTTCCATATCACTACACTGATAGTCCCAAAGCAAGAGTCAACTTCAGATTCGGTAAGATAATTTTTCTGTAGTGTGTCAATTAGTGTGGCGTTGTTAGTTCTCGCCTGATTTCTCCTCTTCTTTTTTTTTTTAATTTTAATTTTAAGTTTTGTATATTTCTGTCTTGATATTTCAGCTTTGTCAGTTTTTGATGTTGTCAACTTGAAACTAATAAATAGCTAATTGCAAATCGAGTACAACTTTGGTATTTGTTTGGTAGAACTAAGGTTCTAAGATTAAGTGATATGATATCTAAAAATGCCAGAATCGTCCCATTTTCCATTTTGATATATTTATCATGCTGTTGCCACTGATACAAATGAAGCAACATTCCTCACTAGTTAATGTATCCTAAAATGGAGATGGGGTGGTTATGAAAGAAAGCAATTTAAGTTAAGGGTTTGGATGAAAATATTTTTTCATAAGTTGCAATTTTAAAACATGGGCAAAATATCGTAGTTAGTCTCTTGATATTTGGAAAAAAAATAAAAAATAACAGTAGAATAAATTTTGTTGTCATTGTTGTTGTGAAAACACTTAAAGGTCTGAGGGAACTCAGTCATAGCCGTTCCACAGTAGTGGCATCAAATCTTATAGAAAGCGTCTGTGTGTGTCATTGATGTCGAGTCGTGCCCCATACCTGCAGCCATGTCATGTAGTGTCCATGTGGGTATGGTGGGCCATTTTGGCAATCTAGCGAGTCTGTGTAAACAGTCTGACAGAGCTCATTGGTTTCACGATGGCAGTTTTTTATTTGTAGCTATTGATAATTTTAATGATACTTATCAATACATTTTTTAATGTTCAGTGTCAAACCTTGAATGAAGAAGAAATTTTTGACGTCCAAGACAAATATTCACTTTTTCCTCTTGGGTGGATCCATGTAAGTGTTTCAGTACCTTGTTGACAACTTAGTGTTATTTGTTCTACTGAATTAGTTGTGTTCTACTTATTATCTTGCTTTGCATACTAAATAAAAACTTTTTTCTTTTTTCTTTTTTTTTAATAATTTGTGGCTTGACTGAAGTTAAAGTTGCTCAAATCCATGGAAGAGCCTTTTGTCTGCGCACTTAATAGAACTTATTGGGTAAATTACAAATACGCCCCCTGAGGTTTGATTTAAAGGATTGTTTGGGATGACCTAAATAAGTGCACTTTTTGTCTTTTTACGAAAAGATGTGCAGAAAAGTAGAGAGGTAATGTGATGGAAAAAAGATAAAAAGATGGATTATTTTCAACTTCCCAAACTTGGCCTAAAATATGAATTACCCTCCTGTGATTTTGGAAATTACATTCTGCGCCCTGAGGTTTTTAATTTCATAACAAATCGTCCATTTTATTAATAAATCATCAAGTCAATTAACAATTCTTAATAATCTTAGAAATATGTTTCAATTAATAATTAGGTAATTTTATTATTGTATAGGAGAGCAATTATGAATTTCATTTTTTTAATTAATTTTGTTAAATAAAAAATACTAACAATGAGGTATTTGTAATTTTCCGAACCACAGGGGGCAATCTATACTTTAAGCAAATCTCAGGACGTGTATTTGTAATTTACCCAAACTTATATATAATTTAGGCCTTGATCGGCAACTAGGATTTTGGCTAAAATAGCCAATTAGACAAAATCTCACATCCTATATATTCATCAATCACTTTTTCTCTCACAACCATCTATTCAACTACTAAAAAAATATACAAATTGTTAAAATTGATGTATTATTGATTGATGTATGTTATATTTTACAAATGGTGAGGGGCTCCTTATATAGGAGATGTAGTGGAGTAAGTGGTAGTAAGTGGTAGTGGTAGGTGTGTAGTAGGTGGTGGTAGGTGTAGTAGGTGGAGTAGGTGATGGTAGGTTTTAACAGCCCCCGCAAACTCAAGGGGGATAGGAACTAACCAACTTGAGTTTGGAGAGAGTAACAAAACAAGAAAATAATCTGAAAAATAAAAAATGGATAGGAGACACTGTATGGTCGTGTCAGACCGTTGTAGAAGACTGTATGGTTATGGCAGACCGATGTAGAAGGACGTCCAAGACAAATATTCACTTTTTCCTCTTGGGTGGATCCATGTAAGTGTTTCAGTACCTTGTTGACAACTTAGTGTTATTTGTTCTACTGAATTAGTTGTGTTCTACTTATTATCTTGCTTTGCATACTAAATAAAAACTTTTTTCTTTTTTCTTTTTTTTTAATAATTTGTGGCTTGACTGAAGTTAAAGTTGCTCAAATCCATGGAAGAGCCTTTTGTCTGCGCACTTAATAGAACTTATTGGGTAAATTACAAATACGCCCCCTGAGGTTTGATTTAAGGGTTGTTTGGGATGACCTAAATAAATGCACTTTTTGTCCTTTTACGAAAAGATGTGCAGAAAAGTAGAGAGGTGATGTGATGGAAAAAAGATAAAAAGATAAAAAGATGGATTATTTTCAACTTCCCAAACTTGGCCTAAAATATGAATTACTCTCCTGTGGTTTTGGAAATTACATTCTACGCCCTGAGGTTTCTAATTTCATAACAAATCGTCCATTTTATTAATAAATCATCAAGTCAATTAACAATTCTTAATAATCTTAGAAATATGTTTCAATTAATAATTAGGTAATTTTATTATTGTATAGGAGAGCAATTATGAATTTCATTTTTTTAATTAATTCTGTTAAATAAAAAATACTAACAATGAGGTATTTGTAATTTTCCGAACCACAGGGGGCAATCTATACTTTAAGCAAATCTCAGGACATGTATTTGTAATTTACCCAAACTTATATATAATTTAGGCCTTGATTGGCAACTAGGATTTTGGCTAAAATAGCCAATTAGACAAAGTCTCACATCCTATATATCAATCAATCACTTTTTCTCTCACAACCATCTATTCAACTACTAAAAAAATATACAAATCATTCCAAACACAATTTTTTTTCATCTCATAAAATAGCCAAAAAGCCAACTAAAATAGTCAAGTTCTCAAACAAGGCCTTAATGTGTGACAAGGTGGTGGTGACCATATAGATAGTTATGCTTAGTTGGGAGAATTTGTTTATGTCACTGTTAAAGTTGTTTTAAAGCCAGGTTTGGCATCCTCAAAAAAATTTAAAAAGTCAAAAAGTCACTATCTTATTTAAGTCACATCACCTCTCTATCACATCATTTCAAACCCAAACCATATCCAACCCATATTTCATAAAAAGTCAAAAAGTGCACTTATTTAGGACATCCCAAACAACCCCTAAATGCTTTGGTGCTGCATATATATCAGGCTTGTAGTGTAATATGAGTATATGTGGTCTCTTTAAGTAGATAACCTCTTGAGTGCTGATTTGGTTTCATTTAGGCAAAATTGTTTTATGGTAAATATGATTTTTGTGAGTAGATATCAATCTGTTTTAACTATCATTGTTTAATTGTCAGTTGCTATGGTTTGCTTATGTCTGCCTTCCAATTCATGCAGATTTATTTATGCACCATTTTGTTTACTTTCAACGTATTCCTTTTGCTTTTGGTTGGTTTACCCTGAAAATAAAGTTTGTTGTTTCTGTCTTTCAACATTGGTGGCATTTTTACTTAGCATATATTTTTTTGCTTAGCAAGTTGAATTTCTTTGTGGTGTCACACTTGTACCATTGAACCTTACTTAGGATACTACAAATAAGAAACAAGAAACGATGGCCCATTTGGCATTGCTTTCTAAAAATGTTTTTTGTTTTTGAGAATAGAAGAAATGAAAAGATACAGAAAACATATTTGTAAAACTATTTTCAAAAAAAATTCCTGACAACAAACCATTTTCAAGTAGCAGTTTAAACTGTTTTTCCAGTTGTCAAAAAGTCAAACCCATAAATTTATCTTTAAAAAAAAAATTTAAACCCATAAGAAAATGATAAGGATTTGAAAACAATTTACGTTTCCAAATGAGAACAACGGAAATGATGTAAGATTGGCCCGAAACTCTTTATCCCTTTTCTGGCTTTTGGTTTGTGGATAAAAAGTTCTCCAGTCAATTGAAGAGCTTTTGGTCCATAAGAACTCTTATTTTGCCTGGTCTAGAAGCAGCAAATTGGTCTATGTTTTTGATGGATGTAAATTTATTATGTTTGGTAGTTTTTTTATATAAAAAAAAATGAAAAAAAAAATCTATCTACTCAATTATTCACAAATTCGTACTTTGATTTTTCAGACACACCCATCACAGACTTGTTTTATGTCGTCGGTTGATCTGCACACCCATTACTCATATCAGGTAATTAACCTTATTCACACATTATTTATTTCTTGAGTTCATTTATGCAGTTTTAAGTTACCTCAATTCATGTATTGGTTTGTGCTAAAGTGCTATGTCAACAGCCAATTATCAATATGAAAAAGAAAACATTATGTGCTTCTTAGAAGTGCATTCCTTAGTGTTTTTGCAGAAGATGATTGAATAAACAAACAACTAAACATAAAAGAGTAACTTGAGAATGTATTATTGTTTAAGCAGTCCAATAGACAATGGCACATTGGTCGGGGCTATAGGGACTTGCTCTTTTTCAGCCATGGCTAAACCATCCTTGTCTACTAGTGGTTCTCCACTTCTGTTTCCTTCACCATCCTACTTAACTGCATTTATAATCCATTTTAAGTATTTTGTTCTGTTACTTTTTCTTAGATCATGCTACCAGAAGCTGTCGCAATTGTTATGGCTCCCACAGACACATGCAGGTAGAGTTCTATTCTCCCAGTTCCCTTGCATTTCATGCTATTTATATAGAGAAATGTTATTTGTTACCCATTTTTTGTCACCATTTTATATTACCTCTTGCATGAATACTCATGATTTATTCATTTGTTTTGAGATAGTTATTAAGCAATTAATGAAAGCAAATAACATCTTGCCATGTGATTTGTTGATATAAACAGGGGAAAAAAAATAAGTGACGTATAGCCTTTTTCATTTATATGTTTTAAAAAATTGTTCATAATGAAGGTTTTGAATTTACTACTAGTGATTTTAAATTGTGAATTTCCTGGTATGTGTGGAAGGAGGGGATTGCATGTGCCTAGGAACCAGGTATTGGTTGGATTCTTTTATGTTGTGTTTGGATCATGGATTTGAGGTGGGATGTAAGGGGAGCGAAAGGAAAAAAAGCAAAAGAAAGGGAAAAGTGTCAAAAATCTATCTTTTATTTTTGTGATTTTCCCCTCCCTTTTTTACTTTCCCTTGATAAATCCTCACTCAAACCCAAGTTCCAAACAAAGCCTTCAAAAGCCAAGAGAAAAAATGTTGAAAAACTAAAATCTGTGTTTTTTTCATGTGCCTATTTCTTAATCTAGTTAATTTACTGGTCTTAGTATAGTTCAGATTTTACTGTGGGAAAGAAAGGAATAAGTTTGTCGTTCAAAGGGATGGAGTTGCCTTTTTCCAAACTTGTGCATTTTGTTGAGTTACCTGCTTTTCTAGACATCCTTTTTTTCGAAGACCGAAATACTGGATATATATTTACTCTTAAGGGTATGGGGGTGAACCTGCTACAAATGGCAGGTGATATGGATAAGAACTCATGAAGCTTACACACCCTAACCTTGACTTTGGCGAGGTTTGAACCCCCTACCCCTCATACGTGTTGGGGTGATGCCATTGGGCTACAAGCCGTTGGTGTTTTTTCTAGACATCCTGTGTACATCAAGCCAAGGGTTTTTCCTGGTGTTTGGAATTGTGAGATGCAAAAGCTCACTACCTTGAAAAACTGATTGAAAGATGGGCAATAATGGGAACCATGTTGGACAATATTGCACATTCAAAACATATGGGCCAAGGTTTTGTCCCTGTGTTTAGAATTTGAATGACTGTTGGAATTCCAAAGGGGCGGGTGAACTATAAGTTGTCGGTTGCTTACCAGTTTGACCGACAGGTTCGACTTCTTGGCTGGTCACGTGTTGATAATGCATATGTAGGGTTGATAATGCATATGTGTACTATTACTGGCTATTTATAATTCTGTAGATATGATTTCGGTTTTCTTTTTTTCCTTCAAATTTTGATTTTCGTTGTCTTTTATATTACTACAGTCCGCATGGAATCTTTCACCTGTCCGACCCAGGTGGTGTTTCTGTTATTCGAAATTGTCAACAGCGTGGCTTTCATCCTCATGAGGAGCCCGAGGATGGGACTCCAATCTATGAGCACTGTTCTCATGTTTATATGAACCCCAAATTGAAGTTTGATGTGGTAGATCTGCGGTGAGTTTGCATTCCTTAATTGGTATAACAAAAGGAAGAAAAAAAAAATAAAGTGTTTTTTGAAAACAGAATCATTTGTAAACACCTTTCAGCCGATGACGATATTGTAAATTCACCCGGATTTGTGAATAGAATTTGATGGAAAGAGAGCAAAGTACATTTCTTTCACACCGAGTGATGTGAAAATTGTATTTTTCTCTATGGGTACCTGGGTACTCTACACAGTGTAACTCCTAGGGGGTGTTTGGGAAGAAGGATTTTTTGGCTTTTTGGGTTAAAATAGTCAATAAGACAAAATATCATATCAAATTCATAATCATTTTATTTTCTCTCTTACAAACATCACATTCAATTACAAAATAATTTAACTCTCTTTTTAAACTCAACTATTTTAGCCTTTTAAGATGTTGTTTAGAATGATCTAAATAAGTTTATTTTTTTATGTAGAAAAATTAAAAGACGTGACTTAAATAAGTACATTTATTTAATTTATATCAAATAATGTTTAAAATAATTAAAAATTAAAACAACCTACAATAGCTAACTTTCTAAACGAGATCACACTCTCGTATGAGAGGTTTGGTGTGGAAGGCTTAAAGGTTCATAATTATACCATCTCTCAGTCATTGCGAGTTCACCTGCTTCTGTCGCATAACAATTTTGTCTTTTCCAAACTGTTAAAAATTTATTTTAAAATTAGAATCTGTGAATTTTATTTATTTTGATTGTGATCCCTTGCGTGAAATTTACAACACGATATATTAATCAATATGAATCATACTCAAAGTTAACAGATCAGGACAACACAATAAGACGATAAATATATGAGTTTATACATTTTAATATTATTTTTACTAAAAAATTGTTATAACATGTTTAAATATCGTGTAACTATATTTTGGTTGAATAAATAAATAAATATATATAATAAAATTTTGGGATAATGTAGTCTTTTTGTTTTCAATTTGAAATAATTTGATATTTTCATTACTATTTTGGAGTTAATTTAACAAATAAATAATATGGTTTGATGTTTCAAAATTGGAGAAATTAAATTAAGAATAGAATACACAATATAAAATTCTAATAATTTAAAAAATATTAATTCAATCTAATTCAATTCGTACAAACAATACAAGAGATCTAAGTTTTTCATGGTAGCATTAATTCAAGGAGGGTAAATGGTGGGGAATATGTTTCAATTTTATATGGACCATTATATGCTTTGTTTGGGTACAAAAACATGTATGGTAGTATTAATTGAAGGAGGGTAAATGGTGGGGAATATGTTTCAATTTTATATGGATTTTTATATGCTTTGTTTGGGTACAAAAACATGTACCAAGGAAAATGTTTGTGACTCTAGTGAGTTCTCACTGTGGTCCCTTTTTAAACAGTACAACTTAACTCTACATCTAGTCTAGCAACTGAATATGAATCCGTCAGTGAGCTTTGAACGTGGCATTGGACCACATGTTTTATACTGTGACTTTCATCTTGTGGTGTAGAAATTCTCTAGAGGAACAAGATGGCCTACCATTCTTCTTCGGGTTGTGTTACAATATCGCTTTTTCTTTTTATTTTAATCTTTCTTAACAATTATGTAAATTTGTTGTACAAGTTGTAATGAAGTCTAGAGGTTGTGATTGCACCTTGTGCTGTGGGAGTTCTGTAGGAACCGAAAGATATAGCTAGTGTTTGGTTTTATTTTAAAATCATCATTCCAATAAAATAAATAAATAATTTTTTTTTTAAAATCTCATAATCAAACATTCAACTCAAAATTCTTTTCAAAATTCTATTTTTAAAACCAAAAAGAAAAAAAAATTCAGAAAAAGTTTTTTATTTTATTTTTAAATTTTTTTTTTTAAAAAAATATTTTTTTATTTTTTTAAGTATTGGCCAAATAATTTGTTATGATTTATATATATATGGAACATACAAAAAAATTTAAATATTTTTAAAAAATAAATAAATGAAGTACAAAAATGTTTAAAAAATATTTAAAATATTAAAAAAATTAAAATATTTAAAGAATAAAATAAAATAATATATTTTAAATAAAAATAATATATTTTTTAAAATTTTGAAATATTTTAAAAAATTAAAAATATAGTACACAAATGTAGTAAATACATCCCAGATTAATATATTTTATTTATAAAGATGATATATTTCTATTATTAAATTTGTGAGGAGCCTAGAAATTCTGGCTAGATCTAGAGGTGTTGAAATTCTGTGCAAGAAGATGCCACATAGTTGCTTCTTTAAGCTTTGGTTGGTATTCATAGGCTGTATGTCATGAATTTGCATAGAACATGACACCACCAACACATGCGTAGCACGTGTTTAGTAGTATTTTCATTTATTTGTTTTAAAAATTAAAAAAAAATTAATCACGAAAATTTATTTGACAAATTAATTCTGAAAATTGAAACATCGTTTTTAAGGAAGTACTTTTTAAGTTGTTCGTAAAATTTCTAAAATTTTATATTATGTTGGCTTTGTTTGGTGTTGATTTTTGGGAGGTAGGATTGTTAGTGTGAAGGATTTAGTAATCTTCTTCAGTAAAGGGATTAGCTTGACTGAATTTTGAATGATATTAGAAAAATAATGAACAGATTTAATCATAGTGAGGAGATTGAGTCTATTTTATATAAAAAATTATTTTTTTAATTTTATTTTTTTACCAAGTACACCTGTTTATTTTAATATCTGTTTTAATTTTTTTTAACATAGAAATAATTTATTTATTTATTTTATATAAAAATAATTTAACAATCCCATCACTAATCATCTTCTACGTCATCAAAAAAATAAACATTTTTATTTAGGGTGAATTATACTAATAGTCCCTATAGTTTGGGGCTTGTGTCATTTTGGTTCCTAACATTTCAATTGCGACACATTTGACCATAAACTTTGAATCTTGTTCCAAATAAGGACAGTTGAAAATATCATTAGATTTTTCAAGGGTAAAATTGTCAATTTGATAAAATATAAACTAATTTGACAAAAATAAATATCAAACAAATATTTTTGAATTTTTAAAAATTATTTCTACCCACTAAAAACAAAATTATGTAAAATTAATAAATCTTTTAGACATTTATTTATTTATTTTATCAAATTAATTTTTATTATGTGTTTGAATGATAATCGTGTAAAATTAATTTTTAAAAATTAATCATGTAATTTTTATTAAGTTTTATCAATTTTTATCATTGGTAGATAAAAATAATTTTTAAGAAATTAAAAATATTTTTTTGACATTTATTTTTATCAAATTAGTTTATATTTTATTAAATTGACGATTTTTCCCTTGAAATTAAACAATGGTATTTTCAGTTGTCTTTATTTAGAACAAAATTTAAAATTCAGAATCAAATATATTACAATTAAAAAGTTAAGAACCAAAGTGACACGTATAGAAACTATTAATATAATTTATCTTTTTATTTAATACCTTTACTAACCATCTTTACATTAGCAATTTTTTCAGTAACTATCCTTTGACAAACAATCACATCCAACATAATACACAAAACAAACGGCCTAAAAATCTTACAACGATAGAGCTAAGTAGTTGCATGCCATAAATGCATGAAAGAACAGTTAGTAGATATCGTCTTCCCAATGAATTTGTCGGCCCATACATTCGGAGATCGTTAGGTAAATTACACTTTATTCTTTTTATATTTAGTTATTTTTTCACTTTAATTTTTAAAATTTATTATTTAATTTATTTTTAAAATTAATTTTTGTTTAAAATTTAAGATTGTATTATAAATGTAAGTTATATATAATAAAATATTTTTATATCACGTGACGATTAATGTATTATTTTTTGTCTAGTTTTCAACAAAAATAAATTTTAAGAGTAAATTGACAAAAAATTAAAATATGAATGATCAAAATAAAAAAAAAATTTAAAAACCAAAATAGAAAAGTAACCAAATATAGAAAGGAAAAATGTAATTTATCCAAATCTTTATTATAGGAGCATCTTCCAAACAATTGTCTTTTCGTATAAACTATATATATATATATATACATATATATTTGTTAACACATGCCTTTAGAATATATGTTAAGAAAGAATGTACAATTTTAAAAATTTACTTAATGCTGAAAGGATTTGAAAAATAATAAGTGTATAAACACATAACCAGACAAGGAAAATAAATAGATTGATAGAATTTTTAAGGAGTTGACCCCACAAATAAATCTAATAAAATTTTATCTATTTATGTGTATTTTTAGTATTGTTATTAAAGAAATAAAAAAAATTCATTGAATTTATTTTATTTTTTAATTTTTGAAACACATTATTAAACAATAGAAGAGAGACATTTGATAATATTTACCACTAAACAAAAGCCATGTTTGTTTGGATGGACATGAGCTTGGGATTGGACTAATAGTCCAATAAAATTATTAATCCAATGTTTGGTTAAACAATTGAAGTACGGATTAATTATTTTAAACTTGACTATTAGTTAAGATAGGATACGTAATCCAACAGATTGGTAGTCCTAAGACTATTAGTTATGGGAATACTAATCCAGTCCGCCCAAACAAACATGGCCTTAGTGTTCTAGAGGATAAGTTCATTTAGGATCGTTCCCATGAAATCTGACAAGTTTATAAATAAATAAAATTGAAATGCTTACAACCAAACGATAAGGGTTGGACGTTTTTCAAATTTAAATTTGAATTTCACTGTGTTGTTTAGATTTGTAAAACCTATAATAATCTGAATTATTCATATAATTTATAAAATAAAATAAAAATATTAAATCAGTCTGATAATAGTAATATTTCCATTTTATCACGTTTATCTATATTAAAAAAAAGATGATTTATTTTATTTTAATAAACAAACTAGTCTATTTTGTTGAAAAAATGTCACAAAATGAAAATGTTTATAATTATCGAATTGATCTAATTTTTTATAAATAATACATACGGAATATCTTACAATATAAACGATTTAGATCATAAAAATGACTTCCATTGTACGAGTCCAAACATTACTGTTCAATTTAATTTTAAACTTAAAAAAGCCCGACCGAGATAATAGTAATGATGATTGAATAACTTGTCATGGCTAAGAGGGTTTTCATGTTGGGTTGATTTTGTGCTCAGATCAGTGGTTAAATTTAAATAGAAAACCACATTGCTATTCTAGTTTAGATGTTAAATTTAATTTTCAAATTCAATAATATGACAATTAATAAAAATATTTAAGATAATTCTCTCTTATATCTTTAATTGGTAAAAAGACAAAGAAAAGCTTGTGTAAAATTTGAGTTCGAGTTTTATACCAATGAGTTGTAATTTTTTTCCCTATATTCTCTTTCTAGCTATCATTTCTCAAAAAAGAAAAACAAAAAACAGAAAATTCAATTTTTATTCCTATATATGTTCCTCATTTACATAAAGTAGTCTTGCCACCTTTTTGTGTCTCACTCACACTAAATTCCATGCTTCCACAGACGATATATAAATCAATCATCAATCCATAGACACTACAATTACAATACTTCTCTCTCTCTCTCTCTCTCTCTCTCTCTTGTGGAGAGATGGGTAGAGCACCTTGTTGTGAAAAAGTGGGATTAAGGAAAGGAAGATGGACAGCAGAAGAAGATCAAACCTTGATAAAGTACATCCAAAGCAATGGAGAAGTCTCATGGAGGGCATTGCCCAAAAATGCAGGTATCATTAACAACGCTAGGTACTTAGAAAATTATTCAAAATTTAAATTGTGCAAACTAGATTCATTTTTAATATGACCTATATCACACCAAATTTAAATCTACGCGGTAGACTCAAATTTTGCATATTTTTTTGAGTTAATAGCACTTCTAATTTGTAAAGCATGCATTTTTGTGGTAAGAATGTAAGTGTGTTGATTTAGTTATTTGAAAAGCAACATCACGTTATTATGTTTTAAAAAATAGGGCTGTTGAGGTGTGGAAAGAGTTGCAGATTGAGATGGGTGAATTACCTAAGAGGGAACTTGAAGAGAGGGAACATCACTGCTGAAGAGGAAACCACCATTGTGAACTTGCATGCTTCCTTGGGAAATAGGTCTGCTTTTGAGTATATGTTCTCTTTCTCTGCATTAGCATGAATGAGAACTCACTTGAACCCCACTTGGTTTTTAGCTAAAAACCATGAAAAATTATAATTCTTCATCCTAAGTTAGAGCATCTCTAGCAATAGAGTAATATTTAGATGTCAGAGTATAATATAACAAAAATATTATTAAATTCAACTCTAATTTGGCACTAGAAGTAACACTCTGCTATATTAAATAGTTTTGTTCACTAAAATCATGAAAAATCACCATTTTGCAAGTTAGGCTTGGTAAAAATTTAAAGACTCTTGCTAGGAAGTGGTTTGGAAATAAGAAATGAAAAAAAAAAAAAAAACACAAAGGCAGGTTTCACTAATTTTAAAATATTTTTAATTCATTTCAAAGATCTTTTCACATTTTTGTTTAGTATTTATGAATCAATTTTTATTCTTATTGAATTGTTAACTATCAACTTATAAAAACAAACTTAAACCGTTAGATAATGGAGAAACTTTATTATTTGAATTTAGGGCAAATTAAATCAGTGGTCCTTATATTTTGTTCATTGTGCCATTTTGGTCCTTACACTTTCAATTGACATAATTTTGACCCTTAATTTTAAATTTTGTATCAATTTGATTCAATTGATAATATTGTTAGTGTTTTTGACTGAAAATAATCACTGAATTGGATGAGATTAACTCACCGAACTTAGTAAATTTATAATTTTACTCTCAAAAAATATGACACATGCCACTTATGTGCATATTTTTCATAAAAAAAATGCTGAAGGTTGTAATTAATTTGATTAAATTGAAACAAAATCATAAATTAAGAGTCGAAATCAAGTTAATTGAAATTACAGGAACCAAAATAACACAAGATCAAAATACAGAAACTGCCGTTACAATTTTTCCTTGAATTTATAAATTTCCAACTACTCTCTCAGTTTAGAGGGCTAAATAATATCATGAATTTTTTTTAATTTTGAATTTTTTTTTTGTTGTAGGTGGTCTTTGATAGCTAGCCATCTACCAGGAAGGACAGATAATGAGATAAAGAACTATTGGAACTCTCATCTGAGCAGAAAAATTTACTACAAAATCCCCAATGATGGTGAATCTGTACCCACCTCCTCCATTCCCACTGCCAAAATGGCTGCCACATTCACGCCAAGCCAAAGGGGCCGAGTCAGCCGATCCGACGCCAAAAAGTACAAGAAGAAAGTACCATCTGCTGCCAATGTAGGACTAGCAGAGGAGAGAGAAAGAATGAATTTGGATGAACAGACTGTAGAGAGAGGAGGACAGGTTGGTGGTGTACTACTGCATGGTTCTTGCATGGACAGTGAAGTTATGTGCCTTGGTGATCAAGTAACCAATTCTTCTGAGGAGAAAGAAAAGGTGGTGGTGTTGGGACCATATAAAGAGCTAGAAAATGACATGGTGCACAACAACATTATCATGGAAGCTAGAGTTGATGAGGAAAGAGAAAACAGGGTTTTGGGTGAAAATGTGAATGGATTTGAGGAGATTAAATGTGGGTTTTTATGCTCAAACTCAGAATTTGGAGAGTGGTATTCGTATCCGTCGCCGACCATGAATTCATGCTTTGATTCTGATCAGTGGGTTGGTTGTAACTGGGATAGTTGCGATGAAGGTCTCAAGTTAGGGGATGAAGAGGAAGATAGTTTTTGGTTATGGGACAGTAGCATGATAGCATCTGCCAAGTAGGAGAGTGTTTTATTTTTCAGTTCTGATATGAATACAAAAATCAAACATGAAATAAAAAACGAAATTCATATGAATGGATAAGATTTTATAGAATTTATTGATAGGATCCTTCTGAAAAATCTTATTAATTCATATACAATCTATGTCTAGCTATGTAATCAATTTATGTGTTTCTAAGCTCCAGTGTAACAATGATAAATGGCAATAAAAGTTCCCATTTTGGTCTGATCATACAGTGGCCGGCTAACCTTGATGGATAAGCTATGCAAATTGTATCTGTAGTTTATTTGTTGTCTCAATTTAGTCTTTTTTGTTATAACGGCATCAAATTTACTTTTGAATTTTCATAATTTCTTTCAATTGATAACTTTCTTGTAGAAATTGGGTTTTGCTCTTTGATTTTTTTTGTCCAATTTCTAAAATTTCATTGTTAATTGGGCTAAATTAACACAATGCAAAAAATAAAAAAGATAAAAATTGATACAATTAAAATTACATAGAAACAATTGACAAGGGGGACATTACAAGAACCAAATATAATTTAACTTATTTTGTACTAAACCCAAAGTGGTTTGACATCTTCTTATTTCATAAATGAAGGTTGTTTTAAACTATAAGATATGACATGCCTTTGTCCTTCTATCGTGTGATTCTTGTGGCTTTTTCTGTGCTATATCTTAAAATTTTCTTGAACATTATTGAGTTAATTTTGAAACCAAAATTTCTTTCACTGAAGATTTTCTTGTATGAAAATCATTAGAGTTTGACCTTTATGCAAGTCACAAGTCATGAAGAATTATAGCAAGAGTCCAATATCAACATTATCGTTGTTACCTTTTGGCCAATCTTATTAGGATAATTTTATCTCTGCAATGATTTTACATTCAACTGTCAAAGTTAAAAGTTGAAATACAATGATATTGTTTTAGTGTGTGTATTTTCTTTGAAATTTAAATTTGAGCCGACAAATTATATATTTGTTGACGTATATCACATTGCAAAATCATAGCACAAACAATAACAAAGAATACATTCATAACAGATAGGTTTTCACAACTTCACATGAAAAGACAACCCCCCTTTACTTGATTGTGCTGATTATGATTTCAAGGACTGTTCAAATAAATCACAACAAATAAACTGTATAAATATTGATTGTAAGAACAAAATAACAATCCAAAAAACGATGCAAAACCCTCCAAGAAAATGAATGTGGGGGACTAACTTACAATGGAGTTTATCAGCGAGATTAAAGCAGAAAAATATCAGCAACCAGTTCATTAACCAAAGAATTAAGAATTTGACCTTCGATCTCTACTCCGATTTCAAATGCTTCGACTTCAAAATCAAGCCATTTTCCATAATTGCTACTCATATCCTTGTCCACAAGATCATCAACCATACAGTCCCCCAAGTCTCTCCAACTTGAAATCTCCTTGTACACTTCTTGAGCTAACCGGTCTTTTCTTCTCAACGTTGACAACCCTTTTGCCCATGTTTTGGATCCCCCATTCGCGTAACGCCTGCATCTCAAGTCCATACATTCACTGACACAATCGAATAAAACCTTTCGCCTCAACTTAGGCTCTTTTCCTTCACTTTCTAGGACCTCTTTCCGATTTTCCAACTGATCAAACAGATGAGGGTTTACGATCTCACGTGCACGGCCTAACGTAAAGTCCTTATACATCAACTCCACATTAAACAGTATTTCTTTCACATATTCCAATTCCCAAATGGCTGATCCCTCAAAATTAGTCATGGTTAAGGTAGCTTGGTTCCTTCTAGCAACAGTTCTAGTAGATGTAGAAGAAGCTGAGTCTGATAATTCTGCATCGGCTTCCAGTAAATGGAACGTCTTCAAATTACTCATACCGAGCACTTCCTGAGCTTGAACTGATGAGGACTGCTTGATACCTGGAATTACATTCTAGATATTCAGTATTTTCTATGATCAAAGTGATCTCTTTGTGGAGGCAAAATACCTAAAACCTAAGGAGCACAGACAGAGATGAGTCAACACGATAATTTTCAAACAATGCAAGAAACGGCAAGTGGGGGGCACTTGCAAAATATACACTTTTACATATTAATTATATGTCATATATAAATATTTCATTCAAAGATAATTAAAAAATGCAACAAACCACTAATTCCTAAATTTTAAAGGATATTGGATTAATAGATTAAATTTACATTATTTTTCTTTTATTATTGTATATTAGTAATTTTGTTCAAGCTTAATGTATTTCATATGTTCAAGCAATGGACATGTACACCCCTAAGTGTCCGAAGTGTATCCGGGTCTAAGAAATTTTAAAAAATAATATCACATGTTTGGACGTGAGTCCTACATGTTGACATGGATATAGCAACTTAAAGTGTTCGTGCGTGTTAACTTAAAACTAAGGCTAGCAGATCCACAACACTTACCTTCTATACTGTTACTGTCTGCACTATCTGAAGAGTTGCAACTTTCTGTGAAAAAAGAATGTTCAAGAACGGAGATTGGACTTGGATGTCGACAGGGGAGCAACTTTCTGGCTTCTGTATCATAGCTGCTGCAGTCATCCATTTCTTCTGTTACCTGGAAATGTTGCAGCAATTCAGTCAATTACCATTCGAAACAATCCAGCATGCTAACTAGTACATTATGAAAGTAAAGAGTCACTTTCAAATAGCAATAAGCCACATTTTAAAATTGAAGTGTACACCACGTTCACTAAAAAAGATCAAAATTGGCTGATTCTTAAGGAGCAGAAAAACTTGATTCTTATGAATTAAGGAAGTGTCATAAAAAACAAGCCAAATTGGTTGATAGATTGGCAAATTACTGAGCAAGATAAAAGCAATAAATAATGATGAGCAGCACAACTAAATCCCCCCTCCCCTGCTCTCCCCAACAGATTAGAGAGGGGGAAAACAAAAATAAATAAGGGATTTTACCATAAGAATATACAGTTATTTTAAGCTTTCTTAACAAAACCCATAAATAAGACATACCTGAAGCTTCAGTTTCGTCATGAATCCCAATGATGAATCAGTTGAAGAAAAAATGGAGCTATAATGCCCGCCCAGTTTGTCCATATCCATCCCTTGGCTCATTTTATCATGTGACTTTGGAATGGTAGATTCTGCATTAGGAATGGATACTAAATCTTGAAAAATCGAAGCAGAATAACTAGCTGTCCCGGCTTTGTAGCAGGAAGACTCGACTCCATGAGTTAATTCCCTTAGCTTTTGCTCCAACAGAATGCTTAACGCATCAGCTCCTGACACATTATGTCCCGGGGAAGATAGCTTTGTACTATTTGCACTATCTGAGTTGAGTGACAACTTTTTACCTCTGTAGTCTGAACAAAAACCATTATTTTTCTCTGGCACCTGTCTTGAGATCTCACAGGCAGACGCTGATCGTGTCAACGGAGATGTGAATGTAAAAGAAACAACATCAGTGCCTTTCCTTTTGCTATCCTCAGCCCAAATTAAGTGCCTATCTACAACTGATTTAGATTGAATTGGCTTCTCAGTTTTACCAACCAACATGCTATCAATGACTGGACTTTTATCCACAAGGAAATTCCCATCTATAGATCGTTTCTTGCGGGGAACATTTTTTGTGCTGGAATATGACACTTCTTTTTTATTAGCCGTTACCTCGGGCCCCAGCTTCCTCGAACCAACCTTGGAGTTCCCTCCAAATTTACTCAAGTTCTTATGTCTCCCTACAGAAGAATCTCCAGATAACACTTTTCTACCTTGTGAGTTAGAAAGTGAGGACTTTGAGGGTAACTTTTCTTTATCATTTAGGCAGTTCTGTTTCTGATTATTCTGTCTGAGCACACTTGAAGCATTATGTGCAGAAGGTTTCTTCTGTGAACTCTTTTGGCCATTCGTTTGACTTTTAAATGTCTGGCTTGAGATGGCCTCCCCCTGTTCTTTCTGGCCAAAAGAACTTCTGCTACTGCTTGCACTCAAGCCTTCTCTTCTCTGAACATTGACCTTTGCTTGGAGTGCGAGTGAAATAGATTTTCCCTTATTCTTCACACTTGAACAATCTTCTGAATCAGAAAAAATCCTGAACGATGTTGTATCTACTGATCCATTCAAGCTCTTATTCATAGATTGCCCCTTGAGAAACTTAGCAGCATTTGATTCAACTGGCCTCCTAGAACTAGAAGCTTCAACTGGCCTCGATGGTGATTGTTGAGAAGCTTCTGCTTTCTCTTTCAAGTCTCTAACTTTCAAAGGAACTGAGGGAGTACCAAGCAGAGGCATTTTGACCTTGGTAGTAGTAACCGGAGGTGTGGGTTCAATAATCTTAGCAGCTGCCTCCATTATGTGAGCTGCATTCTTATGTGGAATGAAACCTGGGCTTTTGATTGGAGACAAAAGCTTATGGTGGGTAATTGGAATTGATTTAGCTGATTTAGGAGGTAAAATCTCAGTTTGGAATTTCTCAATTGGCCTATTTACCATTTTCAGAGGCTTTGGCTCCTTTGGCTCCATTGCCTTTTGAATAGGGACCTCCGCCTTATTGTGCAAATTTCCAGAATGCATGCTTTGATGGTCGTGATGAAATTCAATTTTTCTTCGGTGACAATGAGCATCTCGAAGGGACTGAGAATCAAAAAATGGGGTAGAGAAGGGCTCTGTGGTATTCGATGTTGGCATGGAATCCAATCCCATTAGCCTGGCAACTACCCCGGGTGCCCTAGTTCCATATCCATCCTCATCAGTCACTGACGAAGCACAACTATAGTCACTACTTCCTTTGATACTCGAAACTGCTACAAATTCATCTTCATCCATCTGGAGGTAAAACAATAGTCGCAAAAAATAAAAAATAATAATAACAATAATACGCAGCCTTGACATTGAATGCACACATCAAATCAAGAAATGTATAAACAATGGTGCTGAATAACCATATGCCCACCAGATTAAACCGTGTCATCGGCAGATTCCCATCACTTCTCTTTTTCTGTTTTGATTGCTCTACAAGAAAAGACGAAAGAAGGTGCTCAAATAATTATAAAAAGAGATTGAGCACACACACATAAAAACATATGCTTTATGTATCAGTATCATATGAAATGATTATACATATGAAGTTCAATTATATACCTGATAAATCAGATTTGCTTGAGAACAACTTCTTCCGTGATTTTGCATTCCAGTCAAACAGCTGTAGGAAACCACCGACATAACCTCCTCCATGCTTGGAACCGTGTTTCTCAATCCCCATCTTCACATCCAAAAATCAAGCGCACTATTGTTTTTATGAATGAAAGAATCCAGAGAGAAGAGAAACACAATTCGGATTACCAAAATCCATCTGCAACTTAATCAAATGCCACAAGTTATTTAATTCTTAGACTATTGATATTCTCAAATACAAACTTCTGGAACTAAAACTCAAACAATTATGAATCATAATTCGTTAAGAATTACACATTGCTGTCTTACGTAAACATCAAGAACTACTAGTAAGAAATATTTAAACAAAATAGAACTTGTCCTACTCCCAAACATTTGCATATAATGGGTTCTTAAACACTCAACCATTGGTCATTTCCCAAATGAGGAATCATTTGAATTTCTACTGGCTGCATTTTCTCTCACAAGGACCCACCAAGTTCTATGATTTGTACAGTAGTCCCAAAGTTCTCCTATGATAAGTTGGAGAAACTTGATACACCTTGTTTGTTACCAAGAATAGAGAAAGTCAATGTCCAGCAGAGATCAGCTTATTAAAAAAAGAAAAAGAAAAAAAGAGGAACTATAATTTATTAAGGTTTACACATTTGCTATCTTACAGAAATAATTGGGAATTATCAATAAATTTTTCTTAAACAAAATTGAAATTTTCTAGAACTATCAAACTTTCTACTCAGTTGGTGCTTAAAGATTAAGAACCAAAATGCAGGGCTGAACTTCCTTAAGCAAACCCCACTGCCCACGCGCTTAAGCCCCCCCCCCCCCCCCCCCCCAAAAAAAAAAAAAAGCCATTGTAAATTTCTTCAAGCAACCTTTTTTTTTCGCGTCCTTTACAGTCCAATATTGTCCTCTGATTTCTATGGTAGTTACCAAGATTTTGAGTGCTACATTGTCCGACTACACCTCTCTAGGATACACTTCACAAACTTTGTCAAAATTTATTTTGAACTCAATAGGAATCAAGATCAGAGTCTATCTATAAAGTTCAGAGTATTCCATTTATATTTAATCTTTCTACAAACTTGAATCCACACCAAAGGGTGTTTCTCTGTGTCCATTTTATTTGGCTTATGATCATCATCTGAAAATTGGAATTATGCCAAACTGTACATTTGAAGAAACTCAAATTACTATCGTCTTGCAGATGAAATGAAATATATTACATTACATGGAAAGTTTCAAACTTTAACATAATATTCTGTTTTCTTGGTAGTGTTTTCCTACATTTTCTCAGGAAACAAACAGAACAATAGAAACCAAACTATTCCAAATCTCTCCATTCACAGAAATCGAGTACAAAAAGTTAAATACTATTCTCGTTTGACTAACTCCAAAAACAACAAAACATCAAAACCCATAATCAATTCACTCCATCTAATCACAGAAACCCAAATAAAAAAAACCCCAGTTCAATCATCAAATCAAATATGAATATAATGAAACAAAACCCATTTACAAAAAGAAACTTACACGAACACCTTCCAAAGATTCGTCTCTGATCTACTCTCTCCTCGCAAGTCTTGGGTTATAGAGAGAAAGAGTGATGAATTGCAGAGAGAGAGAGAGAGAAGAGAAAGCTCCAATTTTTCTTGAATATATCGCGTAGTTCAAGCATTAAATGGAAACAGAACAGACTGTAAAATGCAAATTAAATTAAATTTTTTTTTTTTAAAAGAAAGACAATAAATAGTGTTTTTCAAAAATGTTGCAAAAAAAAAAGTAGTAATTATTTTATTTGTACATAAAAGTTAAAAGTCTATAACGTCTCTTTAGAGAGGGGAGTGATTTCAAATTCCAAATGGGGGACGTGGGTCTCAATGTGGTATTGATACTATCGCCGTGTGGTCAAAACTATTGTACTTATCATGGCAAAGACACGTGTAAGAGATCAGGCGCCCAAGGCCCCGTTTGTGGACTTTGATTTTTAGTCAAAGGAAAATGCTAGAGAGCTCTAAATCTAGAGCTCTAATTTGAACTCTAGTGATGTGTCAAAAAAAAAAAAAAAAAAAACAAAACAAAACAAAACAAGGCACAAACATCACATCAGAGTAGGTCCCACCTTCCCATTAGAGCTATTAGAACTCTTATATTAGAACTCTAAAGCATTTTTGTTTAGTCAAAATATCATTCCAAATTGTTATATCATTCTGTCAATTTTTATGCATATCTTTTTTATAAAAATTTAAAAAATTAATTAAAATAATTGATTTTAACTGGACCTAACGAACGAGAAGCATCTGCAACTGGTCAGAAACTTTTAAGGCAATACATGTTAGGGTTCGTTTGAGAAGTGAGTTAATTTTTTAATTTTTAAATTTTTTGGTAATTTTAGTCTGGGTTTGAGAAGGATTTTTTTATTTTTTTTGACTTTTTATGAGAAAAAGAATGTAATGATTATAGATTAGGTGTGATGCTTTGTCTTATTAGACTAAAAAAGTCTATTTTATCATTTTATAACTAAAATAGCCCCAATCCTGCTTCTCAAACGAAGCCTTAGTTGATCAATGAGGGTGTATACTTTTTGAAAAAATTTAAAAAATTAATTAAAATAGCTAATTGCTAAATGAGAAGCCCCTGCAACTAGTCAAAAACTTGTAAGGCAATACATGTTAGTTGATCAATGAGGGTGTATACTTTTTGAAATGAGAAAATAAATAATATTAGAGACCTATGTATTTATATTTACAAATTCACTCACAATAATATAACATGAGGGTTGAGTCTACAATCATTAAATGGGTAACAAATCAAAAGTTAACATATATCATGCCCCATCATTGTGTGTACTTTTTGAGAGTCTCAATAATTTTCTTTACTATTCGGTGGTAATTTTATAAATTATTACACATTAATAAAAAAAATCATAATTATAATTATTAATATTTATAATGTTTATCATATGTTTTTAATTACTTTTTATTTCCTCCTTTGAAATTGGGTTTGTGTTTGCAAAACCATAACAAACAAATACAAATAAAATATCGCATCCAACCCCATAATCATTTCATTTTTTATCTCACAAATATCACATTCAACCACAAAAAAAACCCAACTATCTTTCCAAACACCAAAATTTTTGTATCTAATAATATCCTACAACTAAAAAAACTTACATAAAAATCAACTTCCCACACCTACTATGAATGGCTAAATTTTAAGGTGTGGTTCGATATTTTAATAATCAAAAAAATTAAAAAGTCATCATAGAAAATTCAAATTTTTTTTACTTTTATATATATTTTTTCATAAAATCTCAAGAAAATAACTAAGCCTCCGTTTGGGAAGTGGGTTGATTTTTTGGATTTTTTGACTATTTTAGCCTAGGCTAAAAAGCTTAGTTTGGGAATGGCTTTTTGGCTTTTTTCACTTTTTTTGTGAGAGAAGAGTGTAATGATTATGGGTTGGATGTGATGTTTTATTTTTTGTAGCTAAAATAGCCTATTTTGTCTTTTGTGGCTAAAATAGCCAAAAAAGCCCACTTTAATTCTTCCCAAACGGACCCTAAAATAGTCACTTGGGAAATAACCTAGAGATTCGTCAACATAAAGTTATGAAAAATTCTATGAAATTGAGGGTTTGTTTGAGTTGATATTTTTTTTAAATATATATTTTTAATTTTTTATGACAAAATATGTAAATAAAAAAAGTATAATTTTTGCATTATTATTATTATTATTATTATTATTATAGTTGATTTAATTATTTATAAATAATTTAATTATACTTTTTTATAAATAATTTAATAATCTATAAAATCAATGTTTTAATTATTTCTTTTCCAAATGAGATTTTAAATTTATGATGTAGATTTTATCTTCCTATTATGAGTCATTTCATAAATAAATTTCGGCATTCAATTTAAAATTCTAGATAATATTTTGATATTTTTTTATGGATCTATATAAATTATTTATAAAAATAATTAAAATGATCTCATTTCAAAATCTCATTTCTTTTCCAAATTTTTTAAAACAAATGTACTATTATTATATTATTGTTTATATTCGATTAATTTATTTTTATATAAATAATTTAACTAACCTACCTCATAAAATAAACCATTCAAATCTCAAAATGGATCCACTATAAAAGTAGCTGGAAGGATTTAGGTTAGGTTTGGCATCTCTTAAAAAAATTAAAAAATCAAAAAGTTATTATCCTATTTAAGTTACATCATTTTATTTAAGTTACATTACTTCTCTACTACATCACTTCAAACCCAACTCATATTTATAAAAATTCAAAAAGTACACTTATTTAGAACATTCTAAACAATCCCTAAATTTGAACATTAAAAAGCCAAAGGGGTCGAGGGGTGATCCTGCACAAATCATGGGCGTCCACATGATTGGTCCCGTTTGGTGTAACTATTAAAACAGATAATAAATTATAGATTAATAGATTATAGATTATAACTTTAATCAGAAAAGTTGTTAATCTGTTTGGTGTAACTGTTGGATTATAGATTTAAATTATTGAATAGTGTTTGTTAAATAAGTTGTAAAGTAACTTTTTCAATTAACTTTTATTTTTTGTTATTCATTACTTGTCTACATTTCTCATAAAAAAAAAATAATAATCTATAGTCCATTTCGGTATTTTTCTATTTTTAAAAAAAAATAAAATAAAAAAATCTAAGAGTATTATCATAAATTAACATGTCCACAGCAGAAACTGATAATCAAAAACAAGGAATGAGTAGCTTTTCAGAATCAGCTTTTTTGAATTAAAATAAGTTGTTAGAATTAGAAACTGTTTGAAATAAGTTTAACCAAACAGTCTATAATAACTTTTTCAAAATTAAAAGCTATACGTTAGCTCAAAAAAACCCAAACAAACACCCCCATTGTACCTTGTGTGGTTGTATGAGAAATTCTAAGCCTTTATTTGGGATGTGGGTTAGTTTTGTGAACTTTTATTTTTTATCTGTTTAGTTTTTTAGCTATTTTAGCCTGGAGCTCAAAAGACTCGTTTAGAATAGGTTTTTTGATTTTTTTGACTTTTGTGAGAAAAAATGAAATGATTATGGCTTGGATGTGATATTTTATCTTATTAATTTTTTAATTTATTTTGTCTTTTTATGACTATTTTAGCTCAAACTTTTTATGCCAAACAAAGCCTAAGGCTGCGTTTGGTAGAATTTTCTAAATATGATTTGAGAATAGAGTTGTATTTTAAGTTATGTGAGTTTTAAAATTATGATTTGAGTGTGAAAAATTTGTTCGGTGAATGAGTTTTGAAAACGCGATTGAAAAGAGTTTTAAATTAAGTGAGAAATTTTTGATGTGTCATATGATATTTAATACAAAAACTTATAACTCATAACCAAACACACAACTCAAAATTCTATTCAAAACTCATAAAAAATTTTGAATTTTTTTTATTTCAAATATAAAAAATAAGAGGTGCCAATTGTAAAAAAAAAATAAAAATAAATGCATTGTTCCGGTCAATCGGTCGGATGTTCGGAAGGACGACCGGTCGAACGTTCGGGGGGCGACCGATTAGTCCAAATTTTTTCACATTAGACAGTTTTCAAAAGTGAGTGTGGAATTAATTTTTAAAAACTCTAAACAAACAATGCACTCAAAACATAGAGTAGAAATATATTTTGAGAATACAACCAAACACAGTGTAAGTTTTCCCTTATTTAGTTGAATAAGGAATTCCTATGATCTTCCATGTTTTTTGAGAGGGAGAATTATGAGCCGGTTATGGGCCGAGTTAGAGGCCGAGCAAATTGGAGGCCCAATGGTGCGTTGGGCCACGATAACTTTGGATTTGCCTAGAGTTGGGGCTGATCAGAGATGGACCGAGCCACTTGGATCTGCGCAGGTGATAACCGCGTAAATGGCTTGCTCGGTCGATGGCGCACACCGTTAGCCCGGTCGAGAAGCTTGTGCCAGAAGCCCGGCTGGATGGCCTTTTGTTGACCTGCACGACCAGTCTGAAGGTCGGCTTCGCCGGAATGCTGCCGAGCTTGGCTGGAAAGGATCTCAGTTCTTGGAGCAATCGGGCATGGAACACAGCATGGCCGTCGACAGCCAAGAAGATGCAGCCCGGCTGCCGAGTTCCCAGTAGAGTGGGCTGGCAGTCGGGTTAGGTGATATTCAGCAAGATTTGTGCTGACAGATGGGATAGCAGAACCACGTGTCGAGAGATCACTGGGAGTAGATTTGGGGCACAGAAGGTATATAAGAAAGTCTGTGCCCCCCATGCTGTGCAGACGAACATTTGGTAAGAGAAACACTTACACTCCATTCACTCCTTTCTCTCTATCTATCCTCACGTGTGTGCTAACTTGATCGTCGGAGGGGTTTTCCGGCCACACATCGCCGGGTAACTCACCGCTGTTGTGCACGCAGGTGATCGAATGGAAACGGAACTCGAAAGCAAGGAGTGCGGGCTCGCCTGGATATTTGCCCCCCACACATTTTTGTTCCAAGGTTCTCTCCATCATCACACAATTAAATTAGAGAAATTCTTCATTTATTAGAGAGTTAAATTAGGATGGGGTATATAAAAATTTCATAACAGAAGATTCAAAACTTCATGGGTTTTATAATGCATTTTATACATAGCATTAGAATACGTTTTAAAATATTCAAACTCATTATTATACACCTAAAAAAATTATGTCGCATTTAACAGAAGCTTAAAAGTTAATTTAGGTCTTGTTTGGTAATTTTCTGTTTTAGTCAAAAAGTTAAAAAGTTATTATAAGTTATCACATCACTCTCTCTATTTTTCTGTACCTCTTTTCGTAAAAAGTTAAAAAATTATTAAAATAACATGTTCCCAAATGAGGTCTTATTAGCTAAAAAATCTTATTTTGTTAATGGTCGTGCTAGAGGCCTCGACTTTTTTTTTTTTTTTGTGTTGGTATTTTTTTTGGAAGGGTGGTTATGTGTAGGGCTGTAAATGAACAGAGTCGTTCGTGAACAGGTTCGAGCTCGGCTCGGTAAGAGCTTGTTCGAACTCGGTTCGTTAATTTTTTTTGCGTTCGAGTTCAAGCTCGAGCTCGTTAAATTTTTAATAAACAAGCCCAAACATTCTAAAGCTCAGCTCGTTAGCTGGCTCGTTTAATATTTATTATTTATATATTAAACAATATAAAAGTATGTATAAAAATAAGAGAAATATGCCATTTATATATTTAAAAAATATAAATTTAAATAATAGTTAACTATAAATAGTACATTTATATAATAGTGGTAGTAGATACTATTATTTTAGTAAAATATGGACTTTTTTTTAGTATGTTTATATATATTGTATATATAATTGCATAATCAAAGTTTTAATTGTAACTTTAGTCTTACATGCAAGTATGAATTTATAAATTTTTTGACTCGTTAAGGCTCGTGAACAGGCTCGAGCTCGAGTCGAGCCTAAGCCAACTCGGCTCGAGCTCGGTTCGTTAAATTTTTATTCAGGGTTGCTCGGGTTGGCCATTGGTTCTGCCCAAGCCCGGCCCGAATTGCAATTCGGGCATCAAAAATCTGCCCAAGCCCGTCCAGATTACAAGATATAGTTGCCCAAGCCCTAAAAAAACTCAGGTTGGGCTCGGGTTGCTTGGGTTGAGCCTGCCCGAGTTGCACCCCTACATTTGATAGAGCTATGAAAAAGTGATTATAGATTATAACTTAACAGATTATGACTTATAGCTGTGAACATAAGCTGTTAACCTGTTTGGTACAGCTGTGAGATTATGGATTTAAGCAGCAGAGTAGTGTTTGTGTCCCGACGGAGAGGGGCTATCGCAATAAATGCTGTAAGGGGCTTCATTAATGGCGATGTGCAGTGGCAATAACTTTACAGATCTTTGTCTGCTTAGGTGGCTTGCCTTTCTCTTGCCATGTGTCTTGATGTCATTGGTTCTTATTGCTACGTGGGGCTTCAGCAATGCCGGGCTTTAGTATTTGAGTTATGTATTGGGCTCTAAATGATGGGCTATAATCTTTATGGGCTTACCCATGTCAAATATAAAAATATACAATATGAATTTATTAATAATTAATACCAATTAATATTTATTTTTCAATTAATATTGATTTTTTTTTTCTTCAGAAATATACAATTTTTTAATTAATATAAAAATATACAATATGAATTTATTAAAAATTAATACCAATTAATATTTATTTTTCAATTAATATTGATTTTTTTTTTCTTCAAAAATATACAATTTTTTATTTTTTAATTAATATTAATATTTGGGTAGTAGCGAGGGCATTTAAGTAATTTTAGCCATCCACACAAGCTGCGCACCTAAGTAAAAAATTTAAGCACCTCCTGACCAGCTTTTGAGATAAGCTGAGAAATAGCTTACATTAAGCTAAAAGCTGAAATAAGCAGCTTATAAGCTCTACCAAACAGGCCTAAAGAACTAGACATCCCACACTAACTCAGCTTATGTAGTTTGATAAGATGAGTGAGTTGGGTTGGACTGGTTTGGTGATGAAATTGACTGATCAATTAGACTGGTGGTTAAAATTTGTTAATTTCATATAATTTTGTACGAGTCCCTACTATATTTTTTTTTCAAATCAGGAAATTTTCTCAAAGTCTTCCTGATTTGAAATAAAAATATAGTAGGGACTCGTACAAAACGGTATGAAATTAACAAATTTTAATCAACAGCCTAACTGATCGGTCAATTTTATCACCAAACAAATCCAATCCAACTTACTCACCTTATCAAACCACACAGGCTGAGTTAATGCGAGATGTCTAATTTTTTAGCACACCCCTACACATAACCACCCTTGCCCAAAATAATAATAATAATAATAATTTTGAGACATTTGAGTCTCGAAATTTTGAGGCCTCATTCCTCAAAGCATGAATGAGGATCCTCTCCTTGACCTCTCTCCTTGACTCCTTACTTGCTATGTTATTGGGCCTACTTTTGGGCCCATTTTGATGATCCGAACTGTTTACATTTTAAGATTTGTTGAGTGTATTATATCTGTAAAAAATTAAATTAATCGAATATCAGCAACTACATATTCGGATCATCAAACTAAAAATCATTTTAAAAAAAAATTATTTTTAAAAAAAAATTAATAAACAATTTTTCGAACACATGATTTGTTAAAAAGTGTTATCTCATTTGACAAACTCATTTACTAAAAAAAAAAAAAGCTCACTTTAATCATAAAAATAAAAATAATTTTTTTTTTATAAAAAAAATCATTAAAATAGTCAAAAAATAGAAAAATAAAATGCAATAGAAGTCCTCCCATCTGTTTATGAATTTCAACTTATCAATCTCCTTAGTTTCACAAAAGATAAAATCAAGGGAGAAAGAAAATCTAGAATGTCACAAGAAATGCAAAAATTAAATAATGAACCATTGACGATGAACTTTGAATATATTCAGAGAAAGGAATATAACAATGAATAACAGAAAAAAATGGATCGTATTATATTGTGAAAAATCATAGGACATATCAACGGAAAACTTTAGCATCAATGAAATCTAGTCTAGAAAACCTCCTCACTGTTTTCATCTTTTGTGTATTATATTTGTATTTTATATTCTACTAATTAACAACCATGCACTATCGCAGAGTACTTGTTCTTCACCCAACGAAAGCTATTACGTAAAGAAGCCTTTATTTTGCCTTCCATAGCATAAGCTTTGTATGTAGCAACTCGCTTCTTTCTTTTAACCTCTCGATCATTTGTATGTGATGATAACGCATATGATGATGAGGATGCTGATGTTGTGATAGGCCTAATTGAATGTGGTTGGTTTGAAACACGATGAACTAGGTTAGGATTACATGTCTTGGTAGGTTCAACCGACTCAAACCTCTGGTTAGCGGCGTATGACCAGTAGGGTGGTCGGTTGTCCTCCATTTTTTTCCGTCTCAATTCCCCGTGCAACCGGGGAAAAAAGAGAGACAAATAAACTCAAAAGTAATTTATACAAGGAAAACGGAAAGTGTTAGAAAGCGATTCAAAGAGAAATGGGAGATGATTCTTGTTGGGATTAGGATTTTCTTAAGTTAATAACAAAGAATAAGAAGAAAAGTAAATGTTGCATAGAATCGAAAAAATAGACCCTTTTTGTGAACTATTATTCTTTGAGGGTAGCTGGGTTGTGTGGACAACCTAAAATGTCTCATGTCTTCCAATTTTTTAGGGTGCAATTTGCTTATTTTAGTATATATTGAGGATATGCATTGGTCAGTAATCAACAACCACCTGATTTTGCTTTTGAATTTTCTTTTAGGAGTCAACCATAATAATTGAAGCGAAGATCCGGGGCCGTGCAAGTGTCTACACATACATAAAATAGAAAAAAAAATTGTTCTTTCAAAAATTTATGTAGAATACTGGCATTTTTTAAATACAGATCCTTTCAAATTTTTTAATTAAAATCTGTATCTGTCACATCATTTTTTATAATTTATTTATTTATTTATCAATACCTATAATGTTATTGCTGCTGTTTTTGTAGTTGTTTATAATAGCTGCCCAAGTGAAGTAGGAAGAAATAGACGATTATAGATTATCAAGATTAGTTAAAACAAAAGTCTCATTTATTTGTGCAATCACAAATAAATAAATAAAATTAAGAACATCATACTTATTGTGATTTTAAATATTTTATATTATTACATTGAACCAAACACTATCTTAATATTAATGTCACGCATGAACTTGAAATTGAATGGCTAAGATTCATTTGAAACATATCTCATGCAATATTAAATAATTTTTTTTTTTTAAATGTAAAAGTCAAGATTCAGAAGTTATTTTTGTTCATGATCAATCATGATTAGCCACTAAAAAAAATTTAAAAGAAGAAAAAGACAAAAAAGAAATTTAAAATTACACAATAATTACTCTACGCGGTGGCTCGTCTTAAGATTGATGAGACGCAGATCAAAGATGAAGATCAACGTCCACCTTATCATCATCCATCAGAGACTTTGAGGGAACCACGTCATCATCCGAGCCCACCAATGCCACCTGACGTGGCTCTCCAGCGTGGAACCAATGAGGTGGTGATCGGGGAGGAAACTCTGCCATCACCTGCGGTGGATATACGCAACACTCACACGCTGACCGGAACGACGAAGAGCAGCAGCAGGCAACATTGGTGTTACTACTTAGGGATGGGGACCCACTTGAATGAATCAACGGTCCTGATCGAGCTGCATGGTGATTGTGTACAGGGACAGCCATTCTGAACCGTGGATATTGATGATGATCGCTTTCAAACTGGGCCCTCTTCGCTCTCTGCCGTTCTTTCTTGTGTGCATTCTGATGACCACCCAATGCCTGAGAATTAGGGAATCCACGGTCACAATATTGACACTCGAATCTTTTGTTGTCACCATCTTGTGGTACTGTGACGGGGACTTCGTCACAGTCGGTCACCGGAACACCAAATAACTTCATTGCTTTTTGAAGAGCGCGCACACACGCACAGTCTCTCTCTCTCTCTCTCTCTTTCTCTCTCTGTATCACTCTTATAGATGTATTGTATATATGAGCAATGTCTAATACAAGACTTGAAGCAAAGTACATATATATAGACAATACATATAAACATAGGAACATGAATTTTTTATTAATAGACACATATGCCCTCATTGTCGGCACAAAAAAGTAAGCTAAAATTGCAATGTTTTAAAGAAGGAAAACAAAATTATTAAAGAATTTTTATATGATAATTTTTTGAAAATATATGTTACTTTCATTGGTCTTTTTCTTTAACCTGATAAAATTAAAATTTCCCATTAGAATATATATAGGAGTTTCTTAAAAACTGAAAGTTTATAATAAAAAGTAAAAATTTTATAACTAACTTTTTCTTAATTTATTTAAATTATATATGTCTCAAAATCTATAACGAGAAACTGCATAAAATATTTTAACATAAATATATTTTTAAAAAAAATTTAAATAACATAAATATATTTTTTAAAAAAATTAAAATTTATAAACAAACTCATAAACCGCACCAATTGCCAGTGTCATAGTCATGCTTTACTCTGTTGGTTATTTCGTACCACTCCTGATAGTGGCTGATGCAATAAAGCCAAAAACTAAACATGTATGCCTGTAAAAGATGGTTTAGGCCCAATTTGTTTGGGGTTATAAGAAGGGGATTGAAATTAATAGTGAAGTGAGACTACTATATATGGTGTTTGTTTTGAGAGATAGGGAGGGACTCCTAATACCTTGGTATTAGTGAAGACCTTGGAATGGGGATTGGTAAGGAGGAGGTAAAGATGGTATTAGAAAAATAGTGAGGGGATTAGAAATTTTTTTATTTGTTTTTATTTTTTATATATTATAAATTTTTTTAAAATATTAATGTTTAATTTTTTATATTTTTTTATTTGTTTTATTATTTTATATAAAAATAATTTAACAATTCTTACACTAACAACTATCATCAAAACAAACACAATTTCACTTAATCCCCTCACTATCAATCCCCTCACTAACAATCCTTTCACTATTAATCTCTTCACTATCAATCTCCTTCATTTTATCTCTGAAAACAGACGGGGTCTAGAGTTAGGTATTTCAATCTTCATCAGGATTTTCTTTGATTTTTCAAGGGGTTTTTTTTTTTTTTTTATGTCCTTTTTTTGGTTCATTTTGATTTTGACAGTTGTTATATATTATCAGATGAATGTCACGTTGTTTTTTTTCTTCCTCTTCTATGATTCACACAAAAAATATGAAGAAAAAAAAATTGGTGAATATGATGAATTGCATATTCAAATATTGTGAATATTCATAATATTTGAACATATAGAAGCACGTAAAATGTGAAAAAAATTGGGGGGAGGGGAGGAGGGAATTCATTATATGAAAAATATTATTTTCCTTTTTTACTCTGTAATATGATACAAAATCTAAAAATAAAATACATATATATATGCAACTCATTTAAATTATAACAAACAAAACATATAATTATCGATTAATGTTGTCGAAGTCCTTATGTGAGCTTGAGGGGCAAATCTACATACAGATTTGTAAATGAAATAATGCAAATTTATCTTCATGTCTCCAGTGATGATGACCAAATCTAGTACTACAAATCCAAGCTAAATTAACTTATTCTCTAGCTGATATATCAACAACCATCGAAAGTGTTCAATGAGGCACCTATGAAGATCCTCCTACCTAATTCCTATAGCTTCCATTACTATCTATCTTATCCATTTCCAATCCAATCCAATCCTTCTACTGTGCCAACTCACGCCATAGAAAAGTATACTTAGTTTTTTGGGTTATGGACTTTGATTTGCTAAAAATTCATTTGAGTTTGACTCGTAATATAAACAAATTAAATTTGAACACATTTAAAATTTGGTCAATTTTTAATTTAAACTTGAATAACCTATTACTCGACTCATTTATAGCAATAATTTTTACCAAAGATAAAGATCTAGTTTTACCCCATTATCGGGCTCTTTGTCGACGTCAGTTGTTGGGTTTCTAAATAAGTATTGGTATTCTATAATTTAAAATAATTCTTTTCATATATTTGTAAATAATATTTTATTGATTAACCCAACAAGGAAAATAAAAAATTACGTGGCCACTTTATCTTGTGTGTTTTTGTCTGGCTTTCAAGACTCTCTAAACAAAAAAAACTTGATGGAGTATTTGTATAAATGGAAGATTCTTAGGATCCATTAAGCACAAGTGTGCATAGCAATGGGGGGTGGGGTGGGATTCACTGTTACTATTTTAAGGTCTCATTGTCATTTTCGATCGTGCAAAAAATTAGAAGTAGTTTGCAGTGCATCGCACAAAAGACAAGATCCACAACATGTGCACATATGGGTCACCCCTTTGCTTTGCAGGCATGCACATACACTATTACAATTGTCCCTATCTCATACTAAGAGACTATATGTGGAGGGCAGAATTTATGGGCCACTTTCATTGATCAAAAGTACATCAATTAAGATGCACTGTGTTTGTTCCCTTTCTATTAATTTCAAGTACTACTTTGCTACAGAAGTAGGGGTACTATATGTTGGGATCAAATTATTATTTATTTTTTGGGGTATTAGATCCTCTGCGATGAATTTATTTTATTGTGATAATTTAACAGTTGGATTATTGAAGGTGAAAAAAGACATAATGTTTCTGATTGTAATGTTATTTTACTGTAGTTTTAACTTGAATAGATGAATTATGGATTTTACTCAAGTGTTTTGTCAGCAAGATCATTGTTAGAAAATCATGGCAGCAGACTCGAGGTATTGGACATGAAGTTGTGGTATTTTGTGTGATAGAGACATTACGATGGCATACTCCTTTTTCCACAAATTTTTGGATTTGAAATTAGACTTACACTTATATTTTAAAACACATCCAAAAATAAATTAGAAAATCCAAGACAATTCAATATCTCTCAGATATTGTTTAATAATAATTAAAGCATATTTATCACATTAAAAGATTATTTTAATTGTTTAGTAGCCTCTTTTTTATTTTATTTAAGTAGACCTATTCTTTCAAGTAAAATTGCTTCTAAAGGCATTTGATGACATCATGGTATTATACATTGGTCCTCTAAACTTGTCTACAGGGGATGTCCTTTTTTTCATCCTCTACTCCCTCAAGGGCATAATGAATGGTGTATCTAGTCTTTCTATATAAATATCAACAAGATGTGAGAAAGTGTTTTAAGGGCCACATGCATTGTGCAAAAGTACTTCAATTAAAATGTGTGGTGCCCCTTCTGTTTAAAGTACATCTTTGCCTACACAAGTAGGGATGTACATCGTTTAAGGAATTTTTATTGTACGCATTTTTTAAAAAGAATGTATTATATGCATTTTTAGTTTTGTAATTTTTTTAATTATAATTAATTTTCTTTTTTAATTATGACTTTGTCTTAGTTATAATGATTTTTAGTTATACCTCGTTTGGGAACAGGCTAATTTAGTAACTTTTTGGCTATTTGGCTAAAAAGGTAGGTAAAAAAAACTTGTATGTTTGGGATGACTTTTTGGCTAATTACGAAAAGATGTGCAAAAAGTAGAGAGAAAAGAGAATCTTTGACTTTTTGGTATGGGTTGTTGGCTTTTTGACTAATTGGCTAAAATAGCCTCTTGCCAAACGAGATAGTATTTGATTATGACTTTTTTTTTTTAAAAAAAAAAATTTGATTCAAAAAGCATAAAATTATATTATTTCTTCTTCAATTATAAAATGTATCGCCTTTCCCAATGGTTTATCATATATAGAGAGCTCTCCAATGTATGTGTGAGAAAATGAGGTACGCTATTGTAATGCATATCTATCACACAAAGAAATGATATATCATTAAAATTTTATATAGAGTAAGTTTTAGCAATAATATGACAAGTGATATACTTGTAAATTACGTTGATAATAATGATATTTTGATTTTAATGAAAGGAGTCTTTTTTTTTTTTTTTAGATATAAAACTCATATAAAATACAAAGTTAGACATGAAATAGATGAGACACAATAGAATAGAATGAGTTCAAATCAAATAATTTATGAAGTAGCTTTCAATTTTAGCTCGACCTCAAATCAGACCTACACTTGTATTCCCAAACTCATTCAAAAATATAATAAAAAATCTCATATTTTATTACATTTTAAAATAAAAGATTATCATTTTTATAGTTTGAGTACATCTTTAACCTATTCAAGGTTAAGAATTCAAATTTTCTAATTTTGTTAAAAGGCAAGTAATTTATAATTTATATTTATAAATATATAAAATTAATCTAATATAAAATATAGTATTACATAAGTATTACAAATTTGTTGCTAATTTTGTGGCAATAAAATTGTTATAAGTCTTAATATCTAATCCTAATAATTATGAGTAGAATTCATTATGTCCATTCTTATTATAGACACAAGGAAAAAAATTAAAAATTAAAAATCACAAAATAGGTTCGAGGGATGTGGGCCCACAACTATTCTTATGTTTTTCAATTTTATTTTTGGATGACATATATTGGTCCACTAAGCTTTGATTAAGAATTATCCATTAGGGCGTGTCCTTTTTTATCCTTCGGTTCTCCAAGGCATGATGAATGGTGTAACACATTTTGGTTTGGCATAACTTACAAAAATTAAAAAATTATTTAAAAAGTCAAAAAATTCATATTATTTAGGAAAAATTTGTGAAGGAAGTTTAGAGAGCAAAATTATTATTTTGTCCTTTGAATTTAACTATTCAATAGTAAAAAAAAAAGTCAAAAAGTCGACAAGGGTAGAATACTCATTTGATTTTATTATAATATTTTATTATACATCTTTTTGTAAAAAATTTAAAAATTTATCTAAAATATACATCTTTCTTTTTTTCCTATTTTTTTAACTAAAAAATCAAAAAGTATACCAGCTTCGACATTTGAGAACATGATAAAATGAGACA